GCACACCATGCCGAGAGCGAAGAGATGTTCGCGGCCATCGGTTTAGAGTGCAAAATCAAAGTGAGTTATTGGCAGTAACGTGACCATACATTATATTATTAATTTTTTTCCATACATATTATACAATATTTCGACGATGAGCACACGACGTTTATTTAATGTGTGCGTGGCATTTTGTATGCATTTAATAATATGATATATTATATTATATTATATACTATAATGGCCGATCGAATAATAATTTTTAGCACCGCGTGTAATAAACAGACATCAAGCGTGCGCAAGTACCGAACACGTTTTGGTAAATGCAATCTAACGTGGTTTTACCAGAATACGTGTGTTTATATATAATACCAGCAGCCGGGACGGTGCAGGTTTGGTTTATATGTTGCGTTTTTACGTTCGGAAAATGCAGCAGTCCGCCTATATAAAACCTATACGTAATGTTTAGAAAATAAGCGTGAAAACAAAATGTGGTAAAAGCGAATTAAACACGTTATTGTGTGTCGATTCGCAACAAGTGAGCCCAACAACAATTTTGTGTGAGAATATGTGAGCTAGGTTATGATATTGTTTATTGCAGAACGGCCCTGATCAATACCTAATATACAAATACCGACAGAAACAAAATAGCCGATTCCGATCGATAGACAACCACTGCACGTTATCGTCGTACGGTAAATTTATCATCTGTGTCTATTTTTTTATTTTATTTTTTATATCACAATTAATATGTATATATATATACATACATAAATATATTATGTGTATATATATATATATATATATATATTATATATGTATGTATATCGTTAATGCTATGTCAACGGCAAAATTAATCTTTTTCTTGTTTTAAACATACAGGATAATATTATACTTGATTTTATAGTTTGATCGCTTATGATATCTAATAATATTAATTTTATTAGCAATGTGCAAAAAGTTATGTTGCGAAAATATAAAAGTGTTTAATCAAAATTAAATTTTATTAGTACAACCCTATAATATTTTTCAACTACCATTTTGTTTTTGAGTTTTTCCTTCTGGTTGTGCGACTTTTGTTTCCAATCTACAAAATATATATGTTKTATACATATTAATTGGTGGTAGGGTGATCAAATACATTTTTTATATTAAATAACTATGCGAAAACTTATGTAGGAATATCAACTGATTTATTAATGATCTGAAACTATAGTAGATAAATATTATAAAAAGATGATCAGTTTATAGTCTGGGGTGTAATTAACAAACAATTCTAACGTATACTCAAATCAATTTTTTTCAAATATGGCTTAAAATAGTTTTATAGCTTATAATAAAAATAATATTTAGTTAAGCATTTCGTTGAAAATAAAATAAAAATTTATATTGAATATCATCAATACGCAAATTCTCCTAACATTGTATACTTAYATGAAAGATACATAATTTACTCGTAATGTTCTGATAGATACAAGATTATCAATTGACAATAGTCTATATTATTTTCAATAAATAAGAACTTACTATTTACCATATACAAAAATCATAATCAATTAATCATATAATTAAAAAAAAAAATTTAGTACCTAATTGTGCATGTTTCCTTGATTGTTTTTATCAAATTAGTACGTATTAAAATATTACGTAACTGTCGATGGATAAATAAAACTTTGTAGCACTACACAAAACATCGTTTACTATGTATTATTTATGTGATTAATAATTTTAAATAATTATTAATAATGTTAATTAAATTATATTTTATGATTGTGAAATTGTAAGATTAGGTAACTTATTAAAACATGAAAAATGCTAAATTAATCTTGTTCAATTATTTTTATAATCAGTTAAATATTTTAACATTTAATACATCAGCGATTATACATATTATATATAAGTAATTTTTTTAATAATTCGAAAATGTTACACTATCGCATAAATTAGCATATAATTAATATTTAAAGCAATGTCATACCCATAATATTTTATTATGTATTGAATTACCAATAGAATATTATTTAAATTTGATAAATAGACAATTTACCATACTGTATTTTAGAAATAATTTACTTATTTAAATTGTGTGAATATATTATTCAGTCAAAAAAAAATTTATTATTACCTATACATCATGCACTATTAGTGATAAGTATTGTGAACCGTGTACCTATATTAACTTACAGGTGGTTAGTCCATCACCTGTAGGTATTGTACGATATAATATTTGCATGTTAATCATATATATAACAATATTAATATCATCATACTCCCCGACAACCGTCTTCCGACGGCCAAATTTGTTCGCTCGACAACATTACTAAAATAATATTATCTAAAACATTATTTTTAGCGTCCTTGACCGCCCCCAACCATATATCATTCAACATGCCATAAACTATAGTATAATAATATTATAACAACAGTATTCATCATAGAAGATGTATTATTATATTATTAAATACTCACTCTTAACGCTCGGACGTCCGCCGCGGAAACCGCGCACAAAGTCGCATATTACAATGACAACAGTCGAATTATACAAAMTAATCACGGCGGTGCCTTATGTCAATTATTTCAGGTTTTGTGCTGGAGGACGGTGCCGGTGCGCAACAGCCAGATAGGCGAAGTAGCCAGGAGCAGCGAACCGTTCATCCGCCAGGCGTTCGTGGTGGACGACGCCGATGAGTTCAATGAGGACGACTTCAAGCGCCGCGTGTTCGCGCTCCGGAAGCGTTCCACGCACACTATACCCAAGCCGGGCAGGAGGTTTTACATCTGCTCGCTGTCGCACACTATCATCGTGTACAAGGGCCAATTCACGTCGGACCAGCTATGGGCATACTTTGCCGACTTACAAGTAACAATAATAATTGTTAAATAGATAAATAAATAGAGATTGCATAAACACGGTGTACTGAATAACAATCCCGGCTACAGCTGATAGGTTTTTTTTGTACAATGTTCTACGTATTAAATTCTTTTAAATAGGTACTTACATTATATGGAAATATATTGAACGTACTTATTGGTTAGTACAACCACATAAATGATGAATTATAAATTAATTTAAACCAAATATTTAGATAAATCACTACAAAAACTTATTATTAAATAATTTAATCTCTTTGAAACAATATTATTATTAATACCGAGCATTTTAACTAAAAATGTATTAAGTTATAAAAAATTATAATTCTTATAAGTGTATATATTTTAACGTTTTTTCTGTGGTTAAATCTATTAATTTTATCACCGTTTTCCTAATGACTACAAATTACAATGTGTTGATGATTTCCTAAGCAACATTATATTATGTCATTATAATGTTTTTTCTCACCCACAGAGTCCGGCTTACGAAACGTACCTAGCACTCGTCCACACCAGATTCTCAACGAACACTTTCCCGAGCTGGGAGAGAGCGCACCCTCTGAGGTAAATCTACAAGATAAATTCACCGGGCCTATAGTGTCCGTATGAATGATCCTAATAGCTATATTATTAATATATAAATAACACGTTTCCGTACCTTTTAGGGTGTTGGCGCACAACGGTGAGATTAACACGGTGCGTGGTAACGTGAACTTCATGACCGCTCGGGAAGGTGTGATGGAAAGCAAGCACTTTGACGACATCAAAAAGCTTTACCCGGTGGTGGAACCAAATCTGTCGGACTCTGGATCGGCCGACTGCGTTTTGGAATTTCTGATCAACGCTGGTGAGTGTTCGCTGCCCGAAGCCGTAATGACCATGGTCCCGGAGGCCTGGCAGAACGATCAGACCATGCCATCCGAAAAAAGAGACTTCTACAACTGGGCGGCATGCGCGATGGAACCCTGGGATGGCCCTGCCCTGTTGACATTTACTGATGGACGATACGTCGGTGCTTTGTTGGACAGGTATCGTTTTTTTWAAATTATTATTGGTATTACTTATTAGTTAATATTATTTAAGCACTGGCTCACTACAAACTATTTTTTAGGAACGGATTAAGACCATCTCGGTTCTACGTATTAAAAGACAATGTGATGGTTATGGCATCTGAAGTAGGAGTGTATGACACAGACCCAGCCAATGTAGCTCTGAAGGTAAAGTAGAAAAACTGACAACAATTATTTATTTATTTATTGCTACCTACATATTCTTTCTCAATTCTCCAACAAAATATGCACATATTTGACACTTGATGTTATAACTTTCTTATAGAGTCGTTTGAAACCTGGTCGTATGTTGTTGGTCGATACCAAAGAGAAGCGCATCATACAAGATGTTCAACTTAAATTAGATATAGCAAGGAGCAGACCACATTCTGATTGGCTTAGAGAGCAGGTAAAAATAATATTTTTCAACCATTATTAAAATGTAATAATAAAAATATTGTTTACAAAAACTAAACCATAAAACATTTTGTTTGTTTATCCGATGCCGCAAATTGTTTCCTGTACTGACTTTATAGAGGGTGAGTTATATGTGTTGATAAATGGTTTGAAAATATGCTTCTGCAACCTGCAAATCTTACCGTCGTGAATTTCATAAGAATGCCTAGCTATTTAGTTTTCTAAGATTTTATTTACTTTTATTCTTGTTGTAAATATTTATTACCTATTGCCTATTAATATTTTCACTCTTAACTTTATCCGTGAATAGATTAATGTATTAAAAATACATGTATATATATATATATATTTATTTATATTTATATTAATCTTATTAATCTTATATTAACATATTGAAAATATCTTTTAACTTAGTCAACTTTCTGACAACTTTTAGGTATTTGTATATATTATTTTGTGTGTATATAAAAACTTATTTTTAATATATCATATTATGTTCTTGTAAAATAATATATTTTATGTTATACATAGATTACAATAGAAGACTTGAGAGAAGAAGCTGTTGCTAAAGGATTTGGTTTAGTGCGTGCCAAATCAATAGAATTTATTAGTGGCGAACGTAAAAAGACAATTAGAGAAAATATTCCAGAACAAGAAATGACTCGCATATGGGGAGGAGACAGACGTTTATTGTTATTTAGTTACTCAATTGAAACTATTAACATGCTGATTATTCCGATGATCAGAACTAAGTACRTTAAAAATTAATAAATCAAACAAAATTTAGTAACTTAACATATATTTACTTATAACATTTCAGAAAAGAAGCATTAGGTTCGATGGGAAATGATGCTCCACTTGCTTGCCTGTCTTTGTTTCAACCATTAATATACTCCTACTTCAAACAGTTATTTGCCCAAGTAACAAATCCGCCGATTGATCCCTTCCGTGAAAAAATTGTCATGTCGTTAATGTGTCCAATTGGGCCCGAAGCTAATATTCTTATACCAAGTGCTAAACAATGCCATAGATTATTTTTGCCAAACCCAATACTGTCACTATATGATCTGGAAGTTTTGCGCAATAATCAACATCGTGGCTGGAAGGTAAAATAAAGTTTAATAAATTTAAACATTACCTATATTCTAACATAGAAACATTGAGTGAATCTATTTCATTGGCTTATAATATTTCAATTATATTAATCATCAAATAACCAAAATGTTAACAGACAAAAGTCATTGATGTTACATTTGATAAAGAAGAAGGCCCATCAGGTTTTTCAAAAGCATTGGATCGTATATGCGAAGAAGCTAGCGAAGCTGCTAATAGCAACTATCAGCTCATTATTTTGTCAGATAGATCAGCTGGTTCCGAAAGGTAAAATGTTAACAAAAAAATATAAAATTWAAATYTAAACTTTTGTGATTTTTTTCAGAATACCAGTTAGTATTTTATTAGCCTTAGGAGCTACGCACCATCATTTGATTGATCTAAGACTACGTATGAAAGTTGGATTAATAGTTGAGACCGGCGAAGCTAGAGAAGTTCACCAGATGTGTGTTTTACTGGGTTATGGTGCTGATGGCATATGTCCTTACCTAGTATTTGAAATGGCAAAAAGCTTACGTGCTGAAGGAGTATTGGATTCATCTTTTACTGATAAAATATTATTTGAGGTTTGCATCAAATATTATTTTAATTTATTTAATATTTAAAACTTTTAATTAAATGTTTAGAACTATTGTGAGGCAATGGAAAGAGGAATATCAAAAGTTATGGCAAAAATGGGAATATCCACACTACAGTCTTACAAAGGAGCTCAGATATTTGAAGCTGTAGGCTTGGCAGATGAAGTAATTAATAAGTGTTTTAAAGGCACCCAGTCACGTATTGGTGGTATAAACTTTGAACGTTTAGCCAAAGAAGCATATGAACGTCATTACCTATCTTATTCTTACCGTAATACTGATATGTTGGTTTTGATGAATCCTGGTTATTTCCATTGGCGTACAGGTGGTGAAAAACACATAAATGACCCTATAAGTATAGCCAACTTRCAAGTAAGTTTATAAATATTGTATCTATTATTTGAATCTATAAGTAYTACATTGGATTACTTATATTATTTTGTAGGATGCAGCAAGTAACAAAAGCACAAACTCATATGATAAATTTTGTGAATCAACGATGGAAAGTGTTCGAGCGTGTACCCTTAGAGGTCAATTGGAATTAGTTCCTACCACTAAATCAATAAATATTTCAGAAGTTGAACCAGCCGCTAATATTGTAAAAAGATTCGCTACAGGTAAATTGTTGAAACTTAAACAAAMAAAAAAAATAAAAATCTTTAAATTAATTACTTTTTAATATYTTATTTATTAAGGTGCAATGAGTCTTGGTTCAATCTCTATCGAAGCACATACATCTTTAGCTATTGCTATGAACAAATTAGGAGGAAAATCAAATACTGGAGAAGGAGGTATTTATTCATTTTTTTCTTTATATGTAATTCATTGTATTATAATGTTATCTTGTTTATTATATTATTAAGGTGAAAATTCTGACCGCTATTTAAATCAAGATCCAGAGAATAACAAACGATCAGCTATTAAACAAGTAGCATCTGGTCGTTTCGGTGTGACCAGCTCATATCTAGCTCATGCTGATGATATACAAATTAAAATGGCTCAGGGTGCTAAACCTGGGGAAGGAGGAGAATTACCTGGCTATAAAGTGACTAAAGATATTGCTGCTACTAGACATTCAGTACCCGGTGTTGGATTAATATCTCCACCACCTCATCATGACATCTATTCAATCGAAGATTTAGCAGAACTTATTTATGATTTGAAGTGTGCTAATCCTAATGGAAGAATATCTGTAAAATTAGTTTCTGAAGTTGGGGTAGGAGTAGTTGCTTCAGGTGTAGCTAAAGGAAAAGCTGAACACATTGTAATTTCTGGTCATGATGGTGGTACTGGAGCTAGTTCATGGACTGGTATCAAAAATGCAGGTCTTCCGTGGGAACTTGGTGTAGCAGAAACTCATCAAGTCCTTGTGTTAAATAACTTGAGATCCAGGGTAGTTGTTCAAGCTGATGGTCAAATACGAACAGGTTTTGATGTAATTGTTGCCGCTTTGTTGGGTGCTGATGAAATAGGCTTGAGTACTGCACCATTAATTGTACTTGGATGCACCATGATGAGAAAATGTCATTTAAATACTTGTCCTGTTGGCATAGCAACTCAAGATCCTGTCCTGAGAAAAAAATTTGCTGGTAAACCAGAACATGTAATTAATTACTTATTTATGTTAGCCGAAGATGTACGTAAGCATATGGCTAACCTTGGTGTCGCCAAATATCAAGATCTTATTGGACGCACTGATCTTCTTAAAATGACGGACAGTAACAATAACCCTAAAGCAAAGTTTTTAAATCTTAGTCCTGTGTTACGCAATGCTTTGCATATGAGACCTGGTGTTAACATAATTGGTGGATCAGAATCACAAGTACAATTACATATTATAATTGAATACATTAAATTATAAATCAAAGTGTACCTACTATTTGTTAAATACAGATTTCCTACATTAGAATTTGAATACATTAAATTATAATTATTTCCTTTTGTACTAATTAAAAATATATTATTCTTAGGATTTCCAACTAGAAAAACGCATGGACAATATCGTTATAACTGCTGCACAACCTGTAATTGATGGTTTACAAAAAAGTGTTAATATTGAACTTACCATTAATAATGAATGCCGTGCTTTTGGTTCAACTTTAAGCTACCATATTTCAATGTAAGTTTTTCATTTATAATCTATAAAACAAACTAATTTTACATATTTTATTTCATATCAGGAAATACAGTGATAAAGGTCTACCAGATAACAGTATAAACATAAAATTGAAAGGCTCTGCTGGGCAGAGTTTCTGTGCTTTTTTGACTAAGGGAGTGCACGTTACTTTAGAAGGAGATGCTAATGATTATGTTGGAAAAGTACGTTCATTAAATATTATTACTTCAAGAGTACTAATATATAATTTTTTTAGGGTCTTTCTGGAGGTGAAATAGTTATTTTCCCTCCAAAATCATCAACATTCCAATCTGAACTCAATGTAATAGTTGGCAATGTTTGTTTATACGGAGCTACTAGTGGAAAAGCATTTTTCAGAGGCATTGCAGCTGAACGTTTTTCAGTTAGAAATTCTGGAGTTGTAACAGTTGTTGAAGGAGTTGGAGATCATGGTTGCGAGTATATGACAGGTGGTTGTGCAGTAATTTTGGGTCTAACAGGACGTAATTTTGCTGCTGGTATGTCGGGTGGTATTGCTTATATTCTTGATGTTGATGGATCTTTTAAAAGGTAAAAATTATTTAAAATAAATTTTTTTTCAAAAGTTAAATATTTATAGTTTTTTTTTAAATATTTATTTTAAAGCAAGTGCAATACAGAAATGGTAGAACTTCTTCCTCTTGACCGCCAAGAAGATCTGAACTATGTTCAATCTCTTTTAGAAGAATTTGTTCTTAAAACTGAATCGGTTATTGCATCTAAGTTGTTAGATTCTTGGCCACATTCTGCATCAAAGTTTATCAAAGTATTCCCGTATGAATATCAAAGAGCTTTGAAACAATTGGCTGAAGAAACAAAAGTAACACAAAGCCACACAAATGTAGAAACCATTAATGAGCCTAGTGTTCGTGACATCGAAGAAACAATTAATGACCAAACATTTGAAAAAAAAAGACTTGAAAAAATATTAGATAAGACTCGAGGCTTTGTAAAATATTCACGAGAAACAATGATGTACAGACCTGCAGAAAAAAGACTCAATGATTGGGACGAAATTTACAATTTCCAACATGTCAGGAAAGGACTTAGAGTTCAAGCTGCGAGATGTATGGAATGTGGTGTACCATTCTGTCAATCTTCACACGGATGTCCTTTGGGAAATATCATACCCAAATGGAATGATTTAGTTTTCAATAATAATTGGCCAGAAGCATTAAATCAACTTTTACAAACTAACAACTTCCCTGGTAATAAAACTGATGATATTTTTAAACAATATAGTTGCATATTAGTAAATATATTACATTTTTATTTTTTAGAATTTACTGGGCGTGTTTGTCCTGCTCCATGTGAAGGAGCTTGTGTCTTGGGTATTAATGAGCCTGCAGTTACTATTAAGAACATAGAATGTGCAATTATTGACCATGCCTTTGAACAAGGTTGGATTAAACCTGAACCACCAAAGAACCGTTCAGGTAAAACCGTAGCTATTGTTGGTTCTGGTCCATCAGGACTGGCGGCTGCTCATCAATTGAATAAGGTAAAATTTATTTTAATAGGTTCCTAGTATTTTAAAAATTAAAAACAACCAAATTTAAATGATAATTTTTAGGCTGGACATTTGGTAAAAGTTTTTGAGAGGAATGATCGTGTTGGTGGATTATTGCAATATGGAATTCCATCTATGAAACTATCTAAAGAAGTGGTGCAAAGGCGAGTCAAACTTTTAGAAGACGAAGGAATAATTTTCCACACAAATGTCAGCGTTGGAAAAGATTATTTAGCTAAAGTAATTTGTATATAAATAATTAAAATTGAGAAAAGTTATTAATGTTAATTTATAATAGGAGCTCTTGGATCAGTTTGATGCTGTTTTGCTATGCACTGGTGCTACATGGCCAAGAGATCTACCAATACCAGGTCGTCATCTAGAAGGTATTTACTTTGCTATGAACTTCTTGGAATCTTCACAAAAGAAACAACTTGGTGGGCCAACAGAYTTACCTCTGTTAGCTAGAGATAAAGACATAATAGTGATTGGTGGTGGTGAYACTGGCTGCGATTGTATTGCTACTTCATTAAGACAGGTTAGTGTTTGTACTTAATGAGAATCATACAATTATACTTATGATAACTTTTTCTTAAATATATAATATTAGAGAGCAAGATCTATAACATCGTTTGAAATTCTTCCTGAGCCACCAGCAACTAGAGGTCGAGATAACCCTTGGCCTCAATAYCCTAGAGTATTCAAAGTGGATTATGGTCATGAAGAAGTTAAAATTAAGTATGGTAGAGATCCTAGACAATTTTGCATCATGAGCAAGGTCAGTAATCCATAGCATTCGATACCATATCAAAATAAATAGATCTTTTAATCAAAAAGAAATAATATTTTTTAGGAGTTTGTTGATGACGGTAATGGTCACATTAGTGGTATTAAGACAGTTAAAGTGAATTGGACTAAAGATGAAGCTGGACGATGGAAAATGGACGAAGTACCAGATTCTGAACAGGTAATTATTTTTTAAAACTTTGTCTGTAAATTTCTTTCAGTTGAACATTGTGTAATCTAACTATGTATTGTTTAGGTTTTCAAATGTGATATGGTTCTTTTGGCAATGGGATTCCTTGGTCCTGAACGTACAATTGTCAATGAATTATCATTAGCCCTTGATCCAAGATCCAATTACCAGACACCATCTGGTCGTTATGCTACATCTGTTCCTAAAGTATTTGCTGCTGGAGGTTTGTGACTTTAATACATAATTTAAATTAAAACATATTGAATATTTTTAYGAGTTTGTTTTAAGCACAAATAATATTACTTGCATACATTGGTTGAAATAAAACCGTGATAAAATCTCTTATTGTTAATTTAGATTGCCGTCGTGGTCAGTCCTTAGTAGTTTGGGCAATATCTGAAGGACGCCAAGCAGCTAGAGAAGTAGATGCATTCCTCATGGACCATTCTGTGTTACCCGGACCGGGTGGTGTGATATCTATTCAAACACTTAGTACATGAACTGGTAATTTGTAAGTAATTACCATCTGGACAATATTGAGGGAATGACGTTGGTTTTTAAAAATAGCATCTTAACATTACAGTGTTAGTTTTTTTTCAACTGATTAGGTAACAAAACCATATTGTTGTTATATATATATTTTTTTTTTTTACTAATAATTCAAGTGTGGTTACGTTATTTTTTTAAGCTCCTAAGGAAACAATAAATTCCTAAAATCGATTTTTGATTTACTCATAACAATAAAAATAATATGCAACCATATGCGTTTTCCTTATTCATATAATATAGATAAAAATTATATAATTATATAAGTGGAGCGAGTGTGTGTTATAATTATCCATACATTTAGTATTATCTTAAATTCCATTTTTTCCCAGTTGGTTAAATTAATATCAAAAAAACACATGAATATTGACAAAAGTGTAAAAGACTGATTTTCTATTAAGAATTTTATTTTTAATACCTAATATATTTGTATGAGTGATAACATTTTTTTGCTTGARCGTATGTTTTCTTTACATTAAAAAAAAATGTATAGAATAGATCAGAAATACTGTATTTTATCCAAAAAAATTGATTTTGCATTAATATTTTTTTTTTTACTAACAAAGGCCATTAAACAAAGATTTTTAAGACAACCATCACTAAATTAAATACACAATTAGGTATATAACAATTTTTATTGAGGACTGTCAATTCAATATTTGAAATAACTGTCTTAATCACGTTTAATTTAATTTTTGATTTAATGTAATATTTGTTTACCTTGATTATTAATTATGAATGATGTGTATACTAATATGGTCAGACTATAATTTATAGAGAATCAGTCTTTGGCACTTAAAACATATTTCACACTTGTTAGATTTCATATTCATAAATATTGTTTGCAGTATTATCATCCAATTTGTTGAATATATTAATTTTTATTGTTATTTAAATATATCCACTAGCTTACCAATGTAAGATTTTAGTGTTCTTATAATATTATTGCATATCCTAATCTATCATTACCTACCATACTAAATATATATTTATGAATTATCACTATAGAAGCAATTACTTATGCTTACATATTTGTACGTTATTATTGTTAAAGTTAAATTACATAAATAATGTCAATTTAGTTTAATATAGAGACATTGATAAATTAATTGGTGCGCAGTTACAATATACTGTATCATAGCTGAACTATTATGAAACTTATGCTACGAACTATACTTTTGTGGAAAAGCTATTGCCATATGAAACATTGTGCCCTTAAAGACAATAATAAATTATAAATTATGATAATTAGATATTTGTTTAATATGTATTTTTTAATATTATTCAATAAATTTGTCGATGTTTTGTGCTAAGTATAATTATTATATAATATATATTATATTATGTAGATGTTGAATTATATGATTATTTATGCAATTTCTTTTTAAGTTTTTTTATTAATTATTCTACATAGGTATGAGTTGTCTACATTATTTTCCTAAGTATAATTTTTCCTTTTTTTTAAATTTATATTTTATTTTAAAAAGTCTAGCCCAGTTTTATTTTAATTGACATGGAATATTTTATGGTAATATGAGAAAAAACATATTTTTAAGGAAAGGATTAGTAGGTACCTATGATTGATTAATTTAGAACGAAATCATTTATATTAGTTTTTARCAAGTTAATTGACAGTTTGTAAATTTAAGTCATTATAGAGATCTGTGATAAGTTAAGTGTCAAGGTGATTGGCTGTTAAGACTTGAATAGGCCAAATATCCACGAGTTTACAAATTCAAATAACACCTAACCCATTAGCCATACTTGTCTTATGATTGATTTTTATACAAGTAAAGTAAATAAAAATTAATTTAAGTACCTACATTTTTAACTTTTTAWGATTCATGTTAGATTTTAGTATAGATCAAAGCAGGAGAAGCCGAGAGTTTAGTTGTTTTYGTTTTTGCTTAGTGTAAATTAACTATATTAAACTTTTATCAAGAATAATACCAAGATAATTTGTTGATTGGTGCTGTAAAATTTGTTTATCATTAATTCTGATTGGAGGGCATTCCCTAACATTGATTGTAATTTTTCAGTTTTTGGCCCAAGATTTAATTTAATTTAAATGTAATTRTAATTTATATGATATGGTATTAGAAACAAATATTGCTTTATTGTCAGAAAATTTAGTGAAGAGAGTTTGATGGATTTGATGTAAATGTATCTGTGCCCTATGGTGCAGTTGTGCAGATATTTATCCAATTTTTTTAAGTTAAGTGTCAAAAATGACCTGTTTTTTTCCTGTCAGTATCCTGATGTATATTCATAAAATTGTGGTAATATTATTTAATATTAAAAAAATTAAATTTCATAACAATAAAACTGAAAGTGAATTTAAATTGTTTAAGTACTAATTTTATTCCAAAACAGAAAAATTTCAAATATTTTCAAATGCTTGTGTGCCTATACACTTGTATACACTTGTAGAATACAGTTATTACAATAAATAACTGGTAAAATTAATAGATGTATGTCGGATTTTCGWTTTTAAATTTGGAATTATGATTAATCAATTATAGTCTTTAAAACAAACAAATATTTTGTATTATTCTTATTGCTTAAACAAAAATTTTTATTTTTTAAAAACTAAAAACAAAAACTTTTTTTATTTTTTTTATTTGACAAAACGTAATATTTACAATCTGTATTTACAAGTTATACAATAAGTAAATGTGATGGTGATTGATTGACAGGAGGGTGAAGTCACCCTGCAGTGGTGGCACCCCGTAAGACAAAATCTTATAAAAATATTATCATTTCTAGAAAATGCTACGATAAATATGAGCTGTTAAGAATTTCAAGTAGGTAACCAAGCATTAAAATTTGCCACGGAATTTATGGTCATTCGTTGTTAAAAAAAATTACCAATGTTAAAATTTGACCAAAAGGAGGCTACATCTGCATGTGTTGTCTCAGTCTTACAAATGTAAAACATTGCGAAAACTGTTACCACTCATGCCGTAATTCAAGCTAAGCAACCAAATTTTCATACTATAAAGAGGAGAATATTTACTTGGGCAATGTTGTTTTTATTTTTTTTTGATATCAGAGCTAAAAAAAAAGTAATTCAAGTTTGAAAAACTCATGAATAATTAATTCTTATACAATAAGAACTTTTTTTTATATTTGTGACATCGAAAAATTTAAAACAACGTTGCCCAAGTAAATATTCTCCTCTTTATAGTGTGAAAATTTGGTTGCTTAGTTAGGATTACAGCTTGAGTGGTTGTTGCCCGCGCAATACCGTTTTTGCMGTGTTTTACATTTGTAAGACGAAAACAACACAATATGCGGATGTAGTGTCCTCTTAAATTAATTCGTAAATTTGTGAGTTTGAGGCGATTCCAATATGTATTCTGTGGATAAAGCCGATAAAGGGTCCAGGAGATATGACTCTATTGACTCCACAATATCATAATAATTAAAAACACCGATCAATTATTGCAGTCACTTTTTAGATGTAGGTAATAGTAAATAATAAGTAATGCCGAACTTGGTGAACTGAAAAGAAATGGAAAATAGGTACAAGACGTCAAAACTACAAACACATTATAAGACACTCTTGAGAATCTTGTAAGTTTAGGTAATAATTATTATTTTATTTCAAGATAAGTAGATTACAATGTTGTTAATTTATATACCAATGGAGGAGTTTCCAACAATGATTACATGTTATGTGTCTACATCAACTATAAATAAATAATTTAATTGTGGTAAAACAAATTAAGCTATCGTCTATCTGTATCATAAAGTCATATAAACATTATCTGCTATTGTATGATTCTTATTTGGAGCCAAATAATAAAATAACGGTACCTACCTATCATTTAGTTTCTGTGGGGATTCACAGTTCAACATACATAATATCAACTTTTAACAAATTCTTCTAACCTTTTTTACTGTATATAATCTTTAATTTTTTTAATTTTACATTTCGGCACTATTTTTTTATTAAAATCAAATTAAAATCGGACGATACACTTTTAAATAAACTAAAATCAAATTTGTACAACTTTAATACGCATGCAACACTACTAAAGGTAAGCCAAATTTTAGAATTTCCATACATTTTCGTTTAACATTGATAATTTATTCTTAAAAATATTAATAATGTAATGCGAAATATTATAAGTGCTGTACAATGAAAAAATAATTATTTAAAAGCTAATAGATTGGGTACCCACTAATAGTTCATAGATGGATACTTTTTTTTTAAACTACTTATTTTAGTATAATATTATACAAATGATCGATATTTTATAGCCAAAAAATTTAAAAACATGGCATAATTTATTTATATTAAATAGGTAGTTATTAATTATTAGCGATATAAGTACCATTAGTACCAATGATATTAATATACCATATTAGCAGCGTATCACAGTTACATATTAAATTCAAAATTCTAAACTTATATAGGTAATAACAACTAACAAGTGACTAATATTTTACCAATAAAAAG